AAGGTCACCCACACATTTCATACATTGGTTCCATGTAAACTGTAACTTAAGTAAGGTAATTAAGTAACATCACATGCAATATAAGCAACCCAAGATGGAATACATGATATGCTTATGATCATGAATGCTCAATGATGATTGTGATCATGCAAGGTCAAGGTTAAGTGCATGCTTAACACCGAGGGTGTTACAGTTCTCGACAGGATTGCTTCCAGGAGCTAGCTTTCAACCTTAATCACTCATTGCTACAAGGAATCAAAACAAGAAGGCTCGCTCGTGGCGAATTTTGAAAGATGCAGAGGGTGGCCATGGTGGACGCGTTCTGGCTTTTAAAGCCGAGCATCGCGAGGCAGGGCAGACATGGGCTCGACCAGTGCTTGCGGAAGCTTCCAGAGCACGGCGGGGCGTCCACTTGGGCAGGTGGTGGCGCCGCGGACGCGGGTGGCGGGCGCCACACTTGCCGCGCAGGGGAGCTCGCTGCCGCCATGGATAAGGCCCAGGCTGTGGATGACACCTAGGCCCAGACGACGACGTCATGTGCGGCCGCGGTGTACGCCAAGGAACGGCAACCTCGCCTGCGTCTAGCTCGCCCACCTTCTAGAACAGCGCTCAAGGACCTCGTCAAACTACAGGAGCGATCACGCGACGGCAGTAGCTTCGTCGCCGTGCGCTGGGGCGGAGGTCGCTCGCGGCAGCCGAGGCAGAGCTCGTCCACGGCGGCTGGGCGGAGCTAAGCTCGCCCGCACGTTGTTAGCAGTGGGTGGGGCGCTGGTCGCATTGGCCGGGGATGCCCCCAGCATTGCATCGGGCTCGGGGGCCATCGATTCGGCGGGGGCGGCGCTGCTACACGGAAGAGAAGAAAAAAGAAGGTTTGGGTGGCTGACAAACGAGCCCCACTGTATGGCAACATGGTCATTTCATGTGTCTGTTTGACATCATTAAAGGTAAAAGTGTACGGGAATGGCATGGAAGGCAACAAAGTTTAGCGTCATGGCATCAGTGTGCGTTCGAACTTTTTAGTGGCCTGTAGGTCAAGACTATCTTTTATAATGGCACACGGGTAAAAGGCTCGAGGGAAGAGGAGGAATCGAAGAAAGGGCCAGTGGAGACGAGGACTTGGTGGGCTTAATGGAGGCCCATCCAAGCACGAGTTAGAGCGGGGTTGCAGTGCGTTGGCGGGCCGCTGACCTCCTTGTCGTGAGCCCAATTATAACACGTTTTGACTTTTCTAGATATATTATTACTATTTTTATATGACTTTTCTAGACATATTGTTTTTACTGTATATCTAGACATATTGTATATCTATAAGCGTATATTAAATTCACGTATTAAAAAAGCCAAAACTTCTTGTAATTTGAAATGGAGGGAGTATCATTCATTCATGTGCCTGTCTTTTGCGTAACGAAAAGAGAACCAAGACAATGATTTGCAATGCATTTCCAAAAGAGTTTGATGCCAAATCACGTTATGGAATTTTACTACAGAAGTAAAATGAAAAATGAACGCTGGTATATCCAGTGCTACATTCTGTCAGTTAGATCAAAATTTTCAGAGCGGCATAGTATATCCAGAGCTACATTCTCTCAATTAGAAGAAAACTTTTAGTGCAGCATTCTATCTACTCATGCCAGTGGCCACTCAGAACAGGGCACCAGGATAATTGGACTTAGAGATAAGCGTACGCAGCCCCATTGATCTGGCGCATCATCAGCTCATTGCCTTCGCAGCTCCCAAGCTTTTTCCTCCTGCGCAAGAAAAGAATGGAACAGCGATACAATATGCACACCAATAACAACAAATTAGTTGCAAATCGAACATTTAATTGCAGTACATGTTGATACCAAAACTTACCTTCATTTGTCTAGCAACAGAAGGAAGCCATTTCTCTCCCCTAACCTTCTTCAGTTCCTGCACCCTTTCTTCCTCCCTCTTGGCTTTTGCCTTTGCTGCAGCTTCTCTCGCTTCCAATCTAGCCAATGATCTCTCAGATGCTTCCTTTGCAGAAACAACTATGTCACTGCCATCGACAACAACAGACCGGAGCATATGCCTGAACTGAAACAAAGATCGGAGTAAGACCAGGAGAAATAATGACTGAAAACTTCAAGCATAGGGCAAATTAAAGCAATAATTGATGCCCAACCTTCTTTGATTTCTCATCGACCTCTTCCCCAGGCACAATTCTTGGTCTCTTGAGTTGTACATGCAGTTTATCTGGAAATATGCGCTACACTTGAGTTTGTTGTGACTTTTGACACAGACCACAATCATAGAATTTAACAAGACTGTTTCTCACATACTCATAGAATCCATGCTAATACCAGGTGGCGCTTTTTTAAATAACTTTATTCCTCCTCCTGTTTCCGTGGGGTCTACTAAGTTCAAGCACGGAGTTTTTACTATTTCAAGGTTTTTCTCTAACATATCATCCAACATGTTTCTTACCTGCAATGGACAATTTGAAGGTTGTAAGATAAAAAATGTAAAATTAAAAAGGTATGATTTCTTGACCAGAAAAGCAAAGTATGTAGACAAAAGCATAGGTGAGGTGGATTAAGCACGAGACAAGAGGAAACTAGGAGCGAGGACCTGATAAGCTCATTGAATGGAAATGGGCATGCCATAGGTAACAGTTCCACATCAAACATTGTGCAACTGTTGCCTAGTTGGACTTGAACATTGGTCTGCCAGGTTGGATCATGACTTAACTAACATAGGGAGAAGATTCATTGAAGCAAAGAATGCATATATATGTATATCACATAGTTGATGGAATTCACTGGTTTCACCACCAAGGGCAAGCATGAGGCACGAACATAGCGGAAAACGGTTCCAAATTCTAATAACCACTCCATTCATGATGAGGAAAACAGACAGAGTACCATTGTTCTTCCCTATAAGGAAATAAACCTTGCATTTCACCTTTACACTTTCCAGCCTCAGGATTCCTCTATCTTGAATTGGTTTATTTTGATCACTCTAAAGAACGAAAAAATTTGTTCTCTCTGCTATGTATGTCTTTGAGACACACAACAAGCCCAAAGCTACATCTTGGAAGGGCAATACAGCACTCCACTGACATGAGCTCAGTCAATATAAGAGACAACCATACCATTTAAGTTAATGACTGATGTGAACTGCAAACATGTTGGGATCTGATTCAAACTGATGTGAATAATGTCGAACTTCAGGATTCAGAAGATGCCATTTTGTGGAAATTTGAAAAGAACATGAAATTTTCTGTGAAATCACTCTATAATGCTGTGACCAGTAGTGATGCTGGTCCATCTCACAAGATAATTTGGAAGGGGAAAGTCCCCCCAAAGATTAAGATTTTTATCTGGCTCATGATTAACAATGCTGTATTGACAAAAGATAATCTCATCAAAAGAAGGTGGTCAGGCAATCCAAGCTGTCATTTCTGTGACCAAAATGAAACTGTTGATCATCTTTTTTTCACTTGTCCCATTGCAAAAGTAATCTGGGCAGTCATTGCCAAGGTAATCGGGGCAAATAACATCCCTACATCACTTTCTCAGTGTTGGAGTTGGTGTGACCATTGGCTTCCTGCTGAGAAAAAGTTTCATCTCTCGGGCGTTTCTGCAATTTGTTGGGCGATTTGGAAGGCTCAAAACAAAGCTTGTATCGAAGGGGAAATCATTAAAAATCCCATTGAGATTTTATGTCATGCAGGGGCACTAATGCGGTTCTGGACAGGTCTATATGCTGAAGTTGATAGAGAGATGCTTGTCAATGGAGTCAATACAATGCTTCAGGTGGCAGCAAGACTTCTTCTTCCTAAGGAACCAATTGATGCTGGCCCGAAGCGCTTGAAGCTCGGTGGTGATGAAGAGGAGAACCCATGACGATGGAAGGAAGTGAACTTCATGGCTACTGGTTCTTTTGTTCGTTGTTTGGCATCTGTGTTGAGGGCGACCAGTTCTGGGTCTGCTGTTAAACTGGATTGTTGCGCATCTTGTATCTTCTGTTAAAACGATCTATCTGTTTTCTGTTAAGTTCCTCTAGCTAGCTGTCTATAGTGGTTCAGGTTCAGGACTGATTTCCTTTCCTCTATCTTCTTAAACAATCTCATGTATTTCCGTTTATCTTTAAATGGGAATGAAGAATGGTCTTCGCGTGGAAAAAAAAAATAAGCTCATGACTTGCGCTCTTGCCCCGAGTAGCATTTATCACTACAGCCGATCTTAAATACGGAGACAAAGTGTTCTCATGAGCCCAAAATTTTATTCCGGAAGTCCCAATTTAGAAAATGGTGGCATCAATTCCTCCACCGAGCAAAAGGAATGCAGGTTTCACGAATCAATAAGCCCCCGGGAACCAAAATCCGCACATGATGTATCTGACTAACGACGAAGGAAGGAGAAGGAGCAAACAAAGTTACCTTGATCTGGTACAGCTTAAGCCCAGGACCCTGTGGCTTCCCCTCATGCGGCTCTTCCAGCTCCACGCCGTTGTTCACCTCGCCGCTGCCGCCAGAGGCTGCCTTCGCCGCGCCGTTGGACGAAGGGACGCTGAATCCAACGGAGGCGATGGAGTCAATGGCCGCCTTCCACTCGGCGTCCCCGTCATCTTCGCTGCTGCTCCCGCCGCCGCTCGCTGCCGGGTTCCCGCCGCCGCCGCCGCCCATTCTATTACGAGACCCCTTCTATTACTGCTGCTACTCAAGCCGACTGGACTCGTTCGGCCGGTGCCGCTTCCTGCTCCTCTCTGGGCCGCTAGTGGGCTCTATTGTAGGTGTGGGCCGAGCCCAGGGTTTCGGACCGACCTATCGCGGTGGCGGCCGCTCGAGCCGTATTCCAACACGGCGCCGAGCCGATGACAAAAGAGCCGCATCTTCCCCAGCCAACCTGCCGATCCAGACCCGCGCTTGCCGCCGTCGAGTCGCCGGCCAGGCCAGCCTTCACCTTGTCACCAGCGAAATCCACGGCGGTGAGGCAACCGGCAGTTGAGAGTGCGGCTTCAGTCCGGGGGCAGAGATGGGGAAGAAGCAGCACAGCAAGGACCGCATGTTCATCACGCGGACGGAGTGGGCAACTGAATGGGGCGGCGCCAAGCAGAAGGACGTCGGCACGCCGTTCAAGCGCCTCCCCTTCTACTGTTGCTCGTAACTACGTTGCCTTTCCCTTACTTTCTGTTCCTCTATAGTCAAAAGAAAGATTGTCTGGCGTGTGTGTGTCTGCTTGAGCTTGTAGGGTTTCGTCATCAAATTGTGGGCTTTTAATTTATTTGCGTATAGTGTATGGTTGATTCCTGCTAAACATATTCCCTTGGATGATGCTGTATTAGTTCAGGTGGTTACTTTTCTGAGCTATTCTGTCCTAACATTTGGCAGTTGAGGACATGGACTTGTGGATTGTAAATGATTGTTAAATTTGGTATAAGTCATTAAGATTGTTACTAGCTGAATGTTGATTTATCTTATTTCTCTGCTGATTATAATCTTTTTGGGTGGTGTAGACTCACATTTCTTCCATTTGAGGATCCAGTGTGCACCGTCGATGGAAGCGTCTTCGATTTAATGTGAGTGGCTTAGCATTCCAGTTCAACGAGCTGTTTATATTTCTATAATAAAAAAGGAGTAAGGGTTAAAAAAAATCGAAATCCTGAGTTTGTTGCATTTCTATGTAGGAGCATAATCCCATACCTTAAAAAGTTCGGGAAGCATCCAGTAACCGGAGCACCACTCAAGCACGAAGATCTGATTCCTCTCACATTCCACAAGAACTCAGATGGTGAGTTAAATCTAGGCTATGAAAATACCAATGCAGCTCATACCAGGTTGATCTGCTAGTTGAATCGTGAATTTCTTTTAGATACAAGAATACCAATGTAGCTCGTACCAGATCAATGTGCTACTACAATTATGTCTTCCTTCAATCTGGCGTTTACATCCACTTCATAAATATATATTAAATCAATCATATTTTTTGGCAGGTGAGTTTCAGTGTCCTGTTCTGAACAAAGTTTTTACAGAATTCACACACATAGTTGCTGTAAAAACTACTGGAAATGTCTTCTGCTATGAGGTGACTTCGTATTATTTTCAAGTGTCTGGCTTGATATTATGGTATTTTCTTAGCTTACATGTTAATGCTTTACAAACACAGGCAATCCAAGAACTTAACATCAAGCCAAAAAATTGGAAAGAGTTGCTAACTGATGAGCCCTTCACTCGAAATGACTTGATAACGATTCAGGTAACTACTATGAAGAATCTACTTGCGCAGTTTCTTGTCAATATTTTGCTGTTTAGGATAATTATGTTGACCTTTTGTAAATTTGGTAGAACCCAAACGTGGTTGATGGCAAGGTCCTTGGGGAATTCGACCATGTCAAGAAGGGCCTCAAACTTGAGGATGAAGGTTCAATTATGCTCCCCCTTTCCATTACCTTATTTCCCCATTTCAGTTGTTCCCGACTAGCTTACATATTCTGACAATCGGGGTGTTTTGCAGAGTCGCAGCGGATGAAAGATGATCCAACCTATAACATAAATATTTCTGGTGATCTTAAGCAAATGATTAAGGATCTTGGGACAGAAAAAGGAAAGGAAGCTTTTTTGCAGGGGGGTGGAGGGCTGAAAGCTCAAAAGGAAAGAGCTGCGGCTCATGCTACAATTTTAGCAAGGAAGGAGAAGGATGACTCAAAAGCAGGAAAAGAACCTAAACCTAATCAAAGTTTCAGTATTGTGGATGCTGCTTCTGCTTCTGTTCATGGCAGGAGTGCAGCAGCAGCAAAAGCAACTTCTGCTGAAAAAACCGCTGCTAGAATCGCTATGCATATGGCAGGGGAACGAGCTCCTGTAAATGCTAAACTGGTATACAGTCATCTCATGTTCATGTGTTATGGTGTCCAAGTTTTACCTATCCATTGGTGTTGTCTAATGGTAATAATTCAATCATTTCAGGTCAAAAGTCGTTACACTACTGGAGCAGCGTCACGTTCTTTCACATCGACTTCTTATGATCCTGTTACCAAAAATGAATATGAGTATGTTAAAGTTGAAAGGAATCCAAAAAAGAAAGGTTACGTTCAGCTGCATACAACCCATGGTGATTTGAATTTAGAGCTTCATTGTGATATAACTCCTCGGGCTTGTGAAAATTTCCTTACGCATTGTGAAAATGGTTACTACAATGGTCTTATCTTCCATCGGAGCATCAAGTATGTTCTGATTGCATTAGTCCTTTTTTCCAAATGTTCCTTTAATTCTTATGGTGCTATCTAATTCTTGTTGTTTTTTATCATTCCCTTTGTACAGAAACTTCATGATTCAAGGCGGTGATCCAACTGGCACAGGAAGTGGAGGAGAGTCCATATGGGGTAAACCGTTCAAGGATGAGCCGAACTCAAAGCTGCTACATTCTGGAAGAGGTGTAGTCAGCATGGCAAATTCAGGCCCTCATACCAACGGATCCCAATTTTTTATCCTGTACAAGTCTGCACCGCACTTAAATTTCAAGCACACGGTATTTGGCATGGTCGTGGGTGGTTTGACCACACTTTCAGCTATGGAAAAAGTTCCTGTCGATGATGACGACCGGCCATTGGTTAGTATTGCCAAGTCAATTTCTGCTAGTATGATGGTTATTTAAAGCATTGAGATAATTATTTTATAGCTTTGAATGTATACTGTGTTCTCCACTAGTGTATTTTTCAATATCAACAGAGCCTGAACATGTATTCCTGCGACGGCCTCTATTTACAGGAGGAAATAAAGATTCTAAAAGTCAGCATATTCGTGAATCCTTACACAGAGCCAGATGAGGAAGAAGAAAAGGCAAAGGAGGAGGAGAAGAAAAAGGATGAGGATTATGTAATGTTTCATTTTATATCTTGTTTTAGCTATATAGTCATGGACTGTTTGCATTTAAATTTCCCAATTGTACTAACATGTGGTTGCATCGATTCAGGATAAGGTGGGATCATGGTATAGCAACCCAGGAACTGGTGTTGCTGGTTCAACGAGTACTGGTGGTGGGGTTGGCAAGTATTTAAAAGCTCGGACTGCTGGCTCTGTTGATGTGACTGGAAGTGCTGGTGCAGCTGATGATTCGAGCAAGAAGAGAAAAGCAACTGCATCCAGTGTAGAGTTCAAAGATTTTTCTGGATGGTAGATGTTACGTGTATGTATGTCGATTTCCGTGCTTCTCTCTGAAAATGGCGGTTCCATACTCTTTATGTTCATTCATGTGGTGCGGTCTGTTAACTGCCCAAAATTTGACATGTGTCATTCATGTGCTGTGGTCTGTTAACTGCCCAAAACCACAGGGCCTACACGGGAGTGTGCTCTGTGAGTTTGGATTCAGATTTTGCTTCATACCGAAATGCTGGAAAACATGTCCAGCAGGAAAAAGGTACGAGTAGAAATCTTCTGCAGACTGTTATGTATATTGCATCATTTGCCTAACTGATTTCAACAAGTGTGAACTAAAGGGGCAAATTACGATCACGGATGGTGGTGCTTACCTAGCTTAAGATTATGGGTTCATTCTGATTTCTGAACATGAACAAGTAACAATTTTGCGAACCGGCTCAGCAAAAAACGATAACACATGATCACGTGTCAGCCAAACCCTCAAATTTTACTCTATGAATGATGAGCGGCGGATATCCTAGACATCAAATAATAGATGTCCTAGTGAAAATTCTATCTTGCGAACAGACAGATACACACTCAAAACTATCTTCGACCACTAGTTGATCTAAGAAAACAATGTTCCAATGAAGAGCTAAATAACCATGCTAATGTGTGCAAAGTTCCTCTATCTATTCTGTTTGACTGACCTAAACACGCTTAAGCAAAACTACCATGATCGACGCAATAGCCAGGAGCACAAAGGCAGAGGGTGCATTCGGGAAATCTTTGCTGGAGCTCATTATCAGGGTCTTGATCGTCCCCTTGCTACGGCCCTCGTCAGAGATTGCGACAAGATCTTGCATCATGTTTGACAGATTGGCCATCATCTCGGACACCAGGGCCTTCATTTTCTCCAAATAATCCTTCACTGATTCACCAGCGCTTTGAGAGAGGTAAGTGTTGCTTTGCAGGCTAGCTGCCTCACCATCCTCCACCTCATCCCCAGATACACTAGAACACTCACTAAGCTCTGTAGGAAGGAAAACAGGATGTGTTACTAAGAGTTACTCAAGTAATTTATCACTGAGGGATGTTAACATTAATGCTTACTTGACTCATATGTCTTGTAGAACTTAATAACCTTTTCGTTCTTCATCACAGCATCCCAGACATTCTTATCAGAAGCAAGTGAGGCCACGACATCCTGGGTAGCAACAAAGGTTGTCAAGATGGACATGGCAAGCAATCTGTTCAAACTGACGGTAAACAAAAAAAAATAGAGAGAAACAGAAATTGTACTCGAGATAAATCAATTTAGCGTCATCACTTACAAAAGTAGGTTTATTGTGCTCAAGGTTCATTATGAACCGAGTGCATTAAATCAGAATGTGAATGTATAAAAGGAGCAGATGCAGTTACCAGTTAGTACTCAATCGAGGAAGTACAATTTATAGCATAGTCAAGTTGTATAATCATTTCATATAATGAAAATGTTTGTTCGGAGGACTTCTAATCTCTCAATATAATAAACCTCATGAAAAGAATCAAGTTAGGCTGCTAAGGTCCGATGTGCCTCCTAGATCCGATACTGACGATAGCACTATTTTTTTTGACGCCTCAACTCTTTAAGTACAAGCTGTAGTATTTGAACTCACGCACACCGACACACACCTTAGCGTGCAAGCTAGACCTATAGGTTTTGCACGTGACGGGCACGTCACCCTAACCATTGTGGCGTATCCACGTGTAAGGCTGCAGGGAATGGGAACAAAGTCCCGGTGAGCACCCTCACGATAGCACTATCGAAAGAGCAAACAAATCTGATACTGACGATAGCACTATTGAAGGAACAAACAGAGGGAGAACATCACGTATGTTGGGCTGTTGGGCCTGTTGGAATTTGCCATAAAAGGCCAGAAAGACAAACCTGAGCTTCAGGGCTCTCATGTAGCAATGTGAATGCTTGCACAACACGTCCTGGAGTTCCGGATGAGACGAGCAAATTTTCGTAGTTATCATCCTTCTTAGACACTTCTGAATGAACAACGTCCTGAGGTGTTTCAGAACGAACAAGTTCCGGAAGTGCAATTTCTTGAGCAGACTTTGCGTGACTATCCAGCTCAGCAGGCCAGAGATGTTTCTTCGGGGTTTCCAAGTGAGCAACATGAGGTTTATCCTTGGCACTGGTTTCATGAAAACGAAATACCAGTTAGATGCAGGAATAAGATTATAGAGAATAAATGTGACACATGCAAAAAGGAAATTACGCTGAAAACATTATTCAAACAAAAAAATCTGCAAGGTTTATTTAATTAATATAGAAAAAATCTACTTAACCCCCCACCTTTCATACTTGGTCTACTTCACCCCCAACTATGAAACCGTCTGTTTTACCCCTGAACTTTCTAAAACCGTCTATTTTACCCCTGTGCGGTTTTTAGTGGCGGGTTTGCTACAGTAACAGCGGGTTGCTACAGTAACAATGATTTTGAATTTTCTTTCCTTTATTTATTTTCGGTGAATTTTTGAAAAAATCATAGTAAATCATAGAAAAATCATAAAATGAAAAATCTAATTTTATTGGACTCCACGTGAGTAGATCTACACAGTGAATATATAATACGGTATGCTTTAGTACAAATTTTTTTTGTAGCTTTAGATTAATTGAAAAATCCAATTTTATCTGTAATTAATTAGAATTTATCTATAACTAAGTTATACATAGTCCAATGAGTACGAAATTTTTACTATAGTTCAAGCATATAATAATTAGCGTACCATAAAAATTTCATCATAATTGGACCATAGAAGCTGCAGTTATGAATTATTCCAATTAATTATAGACAAAATTAGATTTTCCAATTAATCTAAGCCTACAGTAAAAATTTTGTACTAAAGCATACCATATTATATATTCACTATGTAGATCTACTCATGTGGAGTCCAACAAAATTAGATTTTTCATTTTATGATTTTATATGATTTACTATGATTTTCAAAAATTCACCGAAAATAAAAAGAAAAGAAAATTCAAAACCACTGTTATTTAGCAAACTCATTGTTACTGTAGCAAAACCGCCGCTGAAAACCGCCCAGGGGTAAAATAGACGGTTTTAGAAAATTCAGGGGGTAAAACAGACGGTTTCATAGTTGGGGGTGAAGTAGACCGAGTAAGAAAGGTGGGGGTTAAGTATACTTTTTCCAATTAATATACCAGTAATCATAGATTTTCCTACTCCATTCTGGATACAGTATATTTCTTGTGCCATTCGTTTCTGAGACATCGTGAAACCCTTAGAAGCATGGGCGAGTATCCATTGTGCGGTAAAGCAAAGTTTTTATTGTACCAGTCACAAATAACTCTTTCCAAAACTCGATGCGGAAGTGTCAAAAGGCCTTTGGTAATTGTCCAACTAAACATAAGACAGAGGCCAACCTTTTGAAAGGACAAGACAGAGGCCAACTAACAGATCATTTTGTTTATAACGAAGTGCAATCAAACAGAAGAGAAACTTATCACTTTGTTAGCAGGAACCGTATTAATTTATTGGATGACATTAGCTAACGACCATGCTTATGCAATTCACGAACAATTTGCAACTCTATCTGCCCACGAACATTGCAAAAAAAAAAAATAATAATGTTATACCGAACTAGACTAAATATTTAATTAGATCGAAAACCAAATAAAGATATCGCAAAAGCAGAGACGAGAGACGTCGATGAGAAGAGAGAGAGAGAGAGAGAACGAATAACGAATGTGTGCAAGCGAGAGCACCCACATCTCGAAGGCGTCCTTGAGGTCGAGCGTGGCAGCCATGGCCTCCTCATGAGTGGGCACGGGCCCGAACACCTCGCGGTCGGTGATGACCCAGTCGTCCGCCGCGAACGTGGAAGCCTTCCGGCCGTCGGCAGAGGAAGTATGGGACGACGGGGTGACGGCGCGCCGCATGTAGGCTGCGGAGCGGTAGCCGCCGATCACCGCGGCCTTGGCGGCCGCGCGGATGCTTCCCCCTGCCATGGCCGGTAGCTGATGGATTTGCTTCGCCGCGAGCGAGAGAGATCGCCCTCGAGCGCCCTAAACGAAATACCCGGCAAGGCAAGGGAAGGAGCCGGGAAGTCTGTTGGGTAAGATATTTATTATGGCCGCAAAGCAGCTGTAAAAAAAAAAAAATGGAAAATGGCAAAGTGGAGAGAAAAAAATTCTGTGGTGAATAAAACATAATTATGGAAAGACACACAGTATTTATTTCATTTTTTGGTACAGGAGTTTAGGATCATATATGGGCCGTCTGATCTATAATCGATGGGTAAGGAATTTTGGATTGGGGAGTTGCACATGTTTGTTGCTGTTGTGGCGCTGAATACGGGATACGGATCCCCGGCGTTGATCGATGTCTTCCGGAATTGACGCGTGGGGACCGTTAATTCCGTAACTAATCACGTTGCTAATCAGCCGATTTGCAATAGATTCGATCAGATCTCATCCGTCGGCCGTCGCCACTCCCGGTCCTGGTCAGCTGGCCTCCTGGAGTACTACGGATAAGAACAATTCCATCTTCTCACGGCGTCAACATTGGTTGATCAGTCGATGGCATGCAGGCTGGACTGTACCATCCTTTTCTCTGTATCTTTGGCGATTCTAGTTTTCTCTCTCTCTCTTTTTTCAAAAAAGCGCAACCCTGTCTTCGTACACTAGCAAGTTATAATTCAGATGCACAAAGGATGATCAAATGATCATGAGTGGAAGAACACAGAACTACCAGATCCAATATGGAAGACCCTGAATCAGGTCCCATAGCCGTCAACACACATTTCCAACTAGATCAAACGAGAAGACCAATGCTGAAGGCGCAGCCAGATTATTCTTGAAACTAAGACGAGTGGATCACCACAACACCTCGCCCAAACGGCCACAAAGTTTTATCTGATTTGAGTGCAAACTCAAAAAAACTGCACATTTACAAACCCTGCATCTACATCTGACCTATACAATGTAGACCAACGTGTCAAATGTCAATACTTTGGTATCTCTCAATGTAACAGCGTATAAGAACTTCAATTCTTCTAAAAAAAACTTCAGACTTTCAGGAATCCCTCCACTCCTCAGGGAGACGCCACCGTTTGTGCCAGTAAATTGACACCCGGGACCAGAGAGGGAACATGAAGCTGTAGTCTGCGGCTTCATCAGGGACTCCCCCTATCGTCAGAGGCAGCCAGACGTACCGCGAATCTCTAAGATCAGATGGGTTCCACCGATCAGCCATGAAGATGAATGAGCCCGGCAGCCCTGGAACCGGCAAGACAAATGTGCTCTGGGAAAAGAATGTTGTTGATCTGAAGACCTCATTCCCTCCCACACAGGGGTTCCCTAGTGTCTCCCAAGGTCCCATCACTGATGTTGCCGCGTGAGCCAGCGCAGTGTTTGGAGCCCAGCTTGTGCAGCCAGAGGTTACCATGTAGTAGGTGCCTTCATGCTTGAAGAGCGCAGGAGCTTCTCGATGCTGTGCGATGAGAAGCCTTCGCATCACATCGGTGACATCAAGGTAGTCATCAGTTAGCAGACCAATGTGGAGCTCGCTGTTGTCTTCCGAAGAGTATATCAGGTAGGCCTTCCCATCATCATCCTTGAAGATGGTCATGTCTCTACTTTCGCAGTCATGTGGACGCTTGCTGTAGAGATAAGTGAATGGGCCTGTCGGAGAGTCACTGATGGCCACACCAACTGAAGCTTTGGTGTAGTTAGCATCATCTATGTGCATCCACATCACATATTTGCCAGTCCGATCATTGTATATCACCTTGGGCCTCTCTAGGACATTGGATTTGTGAAGATCATGTGTTACATTCTTCTCGTCACCACGGAGGACAAGCCCTTCATTTTTCCATGTCCACAGGTCCTTGGAAGAATAGCAACTTACTCCAATGATGTCAACCTAGAAAATGATTTGTCATAGTGGTTAGAGATGAGAAAGAGACAAAATAACGTACCAAATAGGAAGGTGGACAAAACAAACATTGCTTTTAAGTACCGAAGTAGCACCTACAAAGTTCTGCTACTGAGATGTCACACATCAAGTTTAGTTTGTCAGCAGCAACAAATGTTCTCATTATGTGTTTCTGGAAAATTCAGTAAACTATATGCTGGTTCCCAGTGTGCCCAATGTTGATATTCTTTATATCAGAATAATCAGGTCGAAGTCTAGCCAGAGAATCCTTAACTAGAAATGCCTTCAATTCATAACCACCGAAGAGGTTTTTGCTGTCCACAAGAGGACATTTTTTATAAAAATAAAAAGAAAGCACTTTCTGGTTGTTGGTAGCACCATAATGCAGTAACACTATCAGTCACTTTTGATTTAATCAATTAAGGAACTGCAATCACACAGCACAATGCACCTCCCAATACACTGCCACTGGTGTGAGTGTTTACTGGGCATGAAAGAACTGAGATCACAGGCACAATGCACTTCCCAGATATATCACCCTTAGTGTGCATATCTATTGGGGTGTATGCGCGCTTGCTTGTCTGCCTTAGTGCCATTGCCTTGTAATCTGGAAAGGCTAAAATTCTTCTTTAATGATGATTTAACCTTCTCGCTTTTTTGCAGGAAAAAAACTATAGGTCGGTACTTGCATGGCAAAAGCCTGTAACCCGATTCTTCATTTGGAATTTTGTGAACTCAAACAAATCTACTGATATTTCATTGTTCCAATTTAGAACACTACAATTCTAACACCACTAGAGCATAATAAATGCTAGTTTGTACGCAAAGAAAATGTTGAAGCTCAAACCAATTTCATATGAATAATAAACAGTCAAAATTGTTACTAGCTTTTCATCTCTACACACCAAGTAACCCGCCTTAATACAGCCCAGTCAATTTTCTTACCTTACCAACAGACCATAACTTCCAACATGCCCCCTAGCAATTTGGCCTCACCAATAGAATCTAAAAGGTCACGAAAATTAGATGTATGCATTAGCACACACAGCTACATATGCACTGAAATGCTCGGTCATATTTAGAGAAATTAAACCTTCTTCTACATATTGGGTTTTTTAGGTGTTGTACATATTAGTATTTTAGGAGTTCCACATACTAGTTTCTAGCTATCTCCGAGTTGGTTTATCTCTCCAACGATATGATTGCTAAATCTTGGAGCAAGACATTAGTTTGGGATAATGATGCAACGAATTGAAATTCCTACACGGAAGTTCTGAAATGAGCAAGACATTAGTTGATCATTTCCATTATTCTTCTCCAAACTTTTAGCACACTATTGTGTCTACTTGATCGTGCTCTGGTCATGTGCTATGCATGCTAAAGCAACTCAATTGATTTGACATAGCTAGTACCTTATGAGTTTGACATAGGTCATTCACATAAGGTAAAACAATTAAGTTGAGTGCTTCTACAGCCAGATATCGTTTGTCTCAGACCACAGATGGGTGTTGATAGCATCGGAAAGTACAACTCACCCTGTCTGCTCCCTTGGTGTGAGCTTTGTAGGTTTTGCCATCCTTATTCTCCCCGTACCAGAAATAGGTGTTGGTCCTCTTATCATACAGGACACCTCCTCCATGAGCTTGAATTGGTTTTCCATCTGTGTCCAACCAAATTCTGCCTGGGTAGTAGAAGTACATGCTGTCATTTCCACCGTTGATTGGATCTACAGCCGTATTCAGTTCTGGGAAGAACATATCATGCACCGCAGAAGACTGATCCAAGAACTCATCCACTATTGTAGGCGGCTTCTTCTCTCCCTTGCGACGCACAGCCCGGGGATTCCTCCGACTCCGGGGAGGAGCTAGCCGGAACTTCTCCTCCTCCACCACTTCCAGCTCCCTCATAATCGATCGGCGGATCTCGTGTGTACTCATAGTCTCATCCTCCTCCTTATGAATTATGAGAAGATGGAAATTCACAACGACGACCAATGCCACTAGGCTCCACAGTACCAGAGTTAGGGAGCGGTGGCTTGCCGGGTAGCAGCGGAAACCCAACGCCTTTGGGTGCCTGCTCCTCATACCCATGGTGCCGCTTATCTACTCCAATTGATACAAGCTGCAGCAAAAGTGGAGTTGAGCTCAAAAACTGCACAAATTAGACTGGAAAGAAACAGCGGTTGGAATTTGTGCAAAGAAGAGGCTGATTCGCGTTCCAGATCAAGAAAGACGCAATTGGAGTGGAGCAGAATGAATTGGAACTTGGGAATTCTCCGGAAAAGAAATGGGTTTGTTACCAACATTCAACCAACCCAGATTCGCCGTCTACACTCAAATCAGAGAACTACTAAAGGAAAGAGGCAAGCTAACTGAATTCTAACAGCTAATCATGGCCTACTACCCGCTCCCTGGCCGCCGCTAAAAATGAAGCAACCGAAATGGAGAACTGCATCAAGAATCCAGTAAAACAGCTCATCATGCTCAGCCATAGATTCGTAAGGAGACCAGATAATTCAGCAAGAACCACACACACACTTTGCAGGAAAAGAAAAATGAAGAGGCGAAAAAGAGAAGGAGAGAAGCGATGCTCACCATGGCAGGTTGATCCAGAGAAGCGAAGAGGACAAATGAGAGGCTAAGCTAAACTAAAACAAAACCGAGTCCCGTCAGGTAAGTACCTGCTACCAGCTAGCTGTAGAATAACAATAAATAAAACAATCTCAGAGGCTAGCAGATATTAAAATCGGCGCAGCTCACCATGGGCTAGTCCTTGTCGAGATCTTGGCGAGAGATGGTTGGGGCGCCCCGATTAGCTTGCCACGAGCCGCGATCCCGGGGAGATTAGGGGGCTGTCTTGGCTTGAGCGGCTGGCAACGCGACCTGATGAGTGGTTTGGTAATTGGTATGGCTGGTGTGGCTGGCTTCCTTGGCGAACAGCGAACTGCGGCGTCGCTCTGGAAAGGTCGCCCGTCACATTGTGATGGGTACGGCGTGGGGGCGTGTTGAGAGAAGAGTGGAGAGGTGATTTTTTTTTCTAACATTTTTTTAAACTATTTTCAAATCTAACATCGTGGGAATATGACTTCCGGTATCCATAAGAGCATCTCCAAGAGTTCTCTATTTGCCTTTCTAATACTTATTTTTAGAAAAATCAGAAAAAATATCTCTCTAACTGTTTCTAATCCATCCTCCTAGTATTTAAACACTTGACAAACTGAGTCGGTTCCGCGTAACTTTACGTTTACGCGGCTCTTGAGTCGAGCGGATCCTGTGGCCGGCTGTGCCTGCGGTTGTGAACATCCATGGCTCGTTGTGCCCTGCCAAGGCTGATGATGTCCCTCGGGGCGAGCACGGCGGCGTCCTGCTCGCTCCAGCGGCCGTCGCGGAGCACCTTGGCCTTGGGCGCGAGGTTGGCCATGAGCGCCTCCGCCGTGCTCCCGGCGTTCCTCCTCCCATTAGGAGATGGAGGAGTTGAGCAGCAGCAGGAACACGATCCCGACGAAGTCCTGCCAATCCGGTGGCTTGCCACCCCCGTTGGTGAGAGCGATGGCCATGATCGCCGCCGCCTCCATCACCCACGAGAGCGGGTTCCACATGAACCCGAGGAACTTGAGAATCTTGCTCTCCTGCATTGCACGCGCGCCAAGAAAAAGATCAATGACTCGATCCGCCATTGTTACACAACAGAAAAATGATGGAGCAGAATATCACGACCTTCTTCTCCTCGAGCTTGTTGGGGCCGAAGACGGCGAGGCGCGCCTCGGCCTCCTCCGAGGAGAGGCCTTGCCTGCTGCATTTGAGGCTCTGGAAGACCTCCTCGATGGGATGTTCTCCTGCCATGCATAGCAAAAACAGAGAGTAGGACAGCATCAAAACTAGCAAATCTATCCAAGCCCTGGAACAGCGACGTCGGTGCGTCTGTCTAATCACCGACATCATCGAGCTACCCAAATTTGATTTTTTTAAAAGCAATTTATTAGAAATTTTTGGAGATGGCTTTCTTTTTTTCCTCCCAATACCTTTTTAGAGTTGTAAAACTATAAGTTTTAGAAAAAAAATAGGAAACTCTTGGAGATGCTTTAAGACAAGACATGGGCGCACCATCAGAGGTGGCCCAGCCTACAAGATCAAGGCGTGCACGGCACTGATCGACGTGCACCGCAAGATATTGTATAGTACCAAATAGGATATTTTTCTTGTAACCCTACTCCTCCAGAGTATATAAGGAGATGCATGGTCCCCTAGTCGACATCTACATACATCTCAATACAATACATCAGAACACATGATGTAGGTATTACGTCATACTGACGGCTGAACCTGTCTAAATCTTGTGTCTCGGTGTTTGTATTACCATATAGTTCGTATCACGCGCACCCCCACCGATTCATCTACTACTATGGGTATACCCCTCGGTAGACTGCCGACCAGATTTCGTCGACAGTGGCACCCACCGTGAGGCGTGTGCATGCTGATCCTTGGCGAGCCAGATGGCGTACCTTAAGATCATCATCACGTTCTCGGCAATATCGTTCTTCGGTTTTGCACGGGAATTTCTTCATCGTTGTCATCTACAGCGATTCGCTTCCTGGCGTACCTCGATCTACAGGGCGCCAGGCCCAGTGCGATCGCCTCATCCTCCTCATGGAGCACTTCGTCGAATCAGCAACATCGTTGACAAGCAACGCATCCAGATCAAGCTCGACTTCGACACGAGGGCGATATGATCCGACCGACTCCCCTAATCCAAGACATGGCGTACGCGTGGTCCGTTAGCGGTGACGTACGAAGCAACTCGACCCTTGCTGATTGGATCTGATCCTATCATGATGCTTAGCCTGTCTACGACACGATCCAATTCGGCTCATGATTCACGAGCATGCAAGCAAATAAGGAGCCACCGTACTATCTTACAGAACCATGCAACCAAGGAAGCATATATGTGGTATACAGGGCCATGCATCAATGGAGTGCGTATACATGGACATATGTCTGTCCAGCGATACTCCGTACAGGTCAAAGCTAGATGATCACCACACAAGCCAACGACGGCGACGAGTACTCCGGCAGCGACAAAGGCTGCTCCTACTGCTCCTACACCATCGTCGATCGCGAGCTGCCTGAGTCACCGACCACTGATATAAGGACGACATCACCCAGACTACTCGCTTCGACCACCTGCCGCGCCACAATGATGATCGCCGCATAGAACTGTGCCATGACGACCGCGACCGCCGCCATGACGATTTTCTTTCATGTATACCATCTTAAAGATGACATACAGCTAAGTCTAAGGCGAACCCCCGAACAGTCATGTTGACGCTCGAATGTTCTCAGAGATGGCCCTGTCTCTGGCTCCTCCCTACATGTGCACGAGCATCTGCCCTCTACATTATGGGTGGTTGACATCAGCTCCTTAGCGACGCTTTGTTCTTTCTACACGCACACGGGCTCCGTGCTTTGCGTTATGGTTAACGGGCTAGCTAGGGCTGGAGACTCGGCTACACACTAACTGGTCGGGCGGTTTATATTAAATATAAATACATCTTCATAATAACACTAAGTGTTCACACCAACTGATCGTCGAGCTGCATATGCTATTTCATCACCATTGTGATTCTTCTCCGGAGTTCATATATTTTACATCATATACTACCCGTTCTACATATTTGTATTGCAGGATCATCATCCAGGTGATCGGACCACCTGGTGCTCGGAGTTCTCCATCGATCAACTGGTCGAATCACTAGGTTCATGGACTTCGTCGTCAACCAGTTGATCGGACGGTTCGCCAGTCGCTTCTACTCAATGCTCACTTCACCGCCGACCAATTGACTGGACTGTTCGTCGCTCGTGCTTCATCATCAGCTACGCCGAGAACTTCTCGGTGTTCGGACATCGCCAGCTATGCCGAGGACTCCTCGGTGCTCGGACATCGCCAGCTACGCGTGGAGACTCCTCAGTGCTCGGACATCGCCATCTACGCAGGGGTCTCCTCGGTGCTCGAACATCGCCAGCTACGTCGAGGACTCCTCGGTGCTCGAACATCACTAGCTACATTGGGGACTCCTCGGTGCTCGGACATCTCCAGCTACGCCGGGGACTCCTCGGTGCTCGGACATCGCCAACTAAGCTGAGGACTCCCTTGGTGGTCGGATCTTGCTACGTCTCATCGGTGTACTATCAAGCTACTCCATGCTATTCGGATTAGGGTGCTGATCTTGGGCAGCACGTCTGGGGTCTTGATACGCGCATATCAGATGACGTCGACAAGCTTTCAGACTTCTTTTCTTTGACCCTACTACAAGATTCATTCTTCATCTTCCAGCAGGCTTGGGGACTAAGTGGCTACACTTCACCTGGCGGTGAATATAGTGCTTATTTCTTGATTTACCCTCCTTATTGACGGAGTCTAAGTGGCTACACTTCTCCTAAGTGAAAGAATTTTCAAATTTTATCTTGAGCCCCTTACATCCTTCTAGCAAGCCTTACTTGGCTAAGTCCGAGGTCTCCTAACCAGTTAAACTAGTTGGCATTGACTTTCACCGCCCAGGTCACCAGTTAAACTGGTCGGCTTCAACCTTCACCGCCCAGGTCACCAGTTAAACTGGTCGGCTTTGACTTTCATCGCTCAAGTCACCAGTTAAACTGGTCGGTTTTGACCTTCACCGCCCAGGTCACCAGTTAAACTGGTCGGTTTCGATTTTCACTGCTCAGATCATCAGTTAAACTAATCGGCTTCATGTCAAAGTGCTCGGACTTGTTCAAGATAGCGTTGCTCAAAGGATACAAGGCGCTCGGGGACTAGCTGTGGGGGATATGACCCTCGATATCAATAAGACAAGACATGGGCCGCACCATCAGAGGTGGCCCAGCCTACAAGATCAAGGCGTGCACGGCATTGCTCGACGTGCACCGCAAGATATTGTATAGTACAAAATAGGATACTTTTCTTGTAACCTTACCCCTCTAGAGTATATAAGGAGAGAAGGGGTCCCCTAGTTGACATCTACATACATCTCAATGCAATACATCAGAACACAAGATGTAGGTATTACGTCATACTGGCGGCCAAACTTGTCTAAATCTTGTGTCTTGGTGTTTATATTACCATCTAGTTCGTATCATGCGCACCCTCACCGATTCATCTACTATCATGGGTATACCCCTCGGTAGACTGCTGACCAGATTTCGTCGACGGACATTGTTTATTTTTTTCAAAACTAACACTTTTAGCCGCGCCTATTTCTAGGGCACGACGAAACAACGCTGCAGCGCAGCTGGGGTGCGTACGTGGCAACGTCCTGGCCCGCTGGTAGCTAATGTGGCAGGCCTTGCCACGCCACCAATCTGGGCGTGGCTGTGACACGCCACCCGTCAGGGCGCGGCAGAGCGAAATAGAGGCCCACGGCCCAGTCCCTTTCCTCCCTCTCTGTTTCACTACACGTCGCACAGCAGTCGCCTCCGCACCGCCCAGCCCGTGCCGCCATGCCTCCCCCACCGGCTCCCTCTCTCCCTTGTCTCCCTCTCTCAGTCCCTCCGAGTCCCCACTACGCTGCCGCCCCTCCCCGTCACCGGCGCGGCCACCGCTTCCCTGTGGCGCGGCCCCCCTCTCTCCCTCACTCCCCATCGTCTTCCTCCCTTGCCACCCCCTATCCTTAACCCTCCTCCAACTTTGGGCGTAGAAGAAGCCCACGGTCGACAGGAGAAGCCCGCCGTTGGCCAGCCATTGTCGCTGGTGGCTAGCTCATCGCCTTAGGTGGATTGGAGTGATCCTCTTTGTAGGATCTCTGGTTGGCCTAGAGGGGGGTGAATAGGTCTATCAAAACAAACACTCAAACTTTTATCAAATTCATCCTGTGGCACTGCCGCTCTAGAGGGCGGCACTGCCGGACTAGAACAGCAGCACTGCCACACCTGCAGACAACTTTGAGTCACAGTTCAAAATCAGTGAACGGAAACTTAGATCGGAGAAATTTCTCAGCCTACTGTAGGTATTATAGTCACATATTAAGAGCTAGAAGTTGTAGGAACACCACACATAAGTAGATCGACTAGAAACCCTAGAAATCACCTCAACCAACAATATAAAATGCAAGTAATGTAAATCAAGCACAAGTGACACAATGATTTATCTCGTAGTTCGGCTCACCACCAAGGCTTGCCTACCTCCATGTTGTTGAGGTTAGCCACTAAGGCTTAGGGTTTTCCAGCTAGCCCTTCCTCCTTCTCAAGTCAAAAGACTTAACTCTTGAGATAAGAGGTGAGTTTACTAGGTTCAAGAGATGGTTACAAACTTTCCGGGGCTATCACATAAGTTGGCAAGCTCCACGGGCGATGCTCTAGCCGGCTAGGAGCCAAGCTCCAAGAGTATCAAACACAACCACCAGCCAAAACATGAACCAAGTGCTCTTTTGAGTTGAGAAATCAATGGAGCTGCTCTCTAATCGAGTTTTGGACCCTTTTCTCTCAAGGATTGATGGAGGAAATCAATGGATTTGCTTGAGGGCTTAAGGTCACTAATGGAGGGAGAAAGGGAGAGTCCACTTTGTTTTGGACGAGTTGGAGTGAGGAAGAAGAGACAGAGTACCGTTGGGGAGGAAGGGGAAGGGTATAAATACCCCCTAGCCCAAACGATCACTTAAGTCATGGCAGTGCCACGGCTCAAGTGCGGCAGTGCCTCTCTTCAAGTGCGGTAGTGCCGCACCACGCAAGACAGTAAGGGTAAGAATGAAGTGTAGACTATATTGGCTGTGAATCTGAGGATGTATGTGTATGTTTGAGCACTTGATAGCACATATTAGCTTAAGCATTGTGTCCCCTTTATAGTATGGCTTTTCCTATACTCAAATTCAAAATATAAAAGAATTTAAACCTCCTTTGAGTTTGAAGCCATCTATATTTGTAATTGGGGGCTCCTACATTTCGTGTAGCATCCTCGAACATGAATTCCATGCTTTTCATCTCGATAAATCACATTAGTTCTCTAATTGCGTGGTCATTATCATCGAAACCCATAATTTCGTGTAGAGCCTTCCCCTAAGTATATGAATAGAGAATTGAATTCTCAAATTGGCATAAGAAGCCAAGATTCATATTTTAGTGAAAGTGATGGGGCTTCCCCTACATCCATGCTCCTATAGAGTGCTGCATACTGTGTCAGGTATGTAAAACATGATGCAAATGATAGTTTATGCACAACATGGTTTGCTGTTGTAGCTCGATGTGGCACTGCCGCACCAGAGTGCGGTACTGCCGCACTTGTTGTAATAGTACAGATCAGAACAGACACCACATAACATGTAATATATATAAAGATATACATTCTAGCATAATTGTATCACAAGCGACAGCATAGATTAATATATGTCTATATCCCACACATATATAATGTACTTAAGTAGCATTATTACATAAATAGAGTTTCTAATGGACTCTTAAACTCTCACCTAACGAAGACTACTCTAAATGGATACGAACATAACTCTAGCTGCAGCAACCTCCTCTCCATGGCGTCGAAAAAGTTGTTGACCCCTCTAATTTTCCTCCCTTTGGCATAAAGCACTAAAAAGAGAAGAAAAGAAGAAAGACCAGCACTCACTCCTCATCCTCTTGGATGGTGTCCCAATCAACATCATCCCCACCA